CATTTCTGCCAGTGGAGTAAGAACATTTTACTTGGTAAGATTCTTGAAATACTTGATTTGACTCAATTTTTTCTTATTTTATTTCTTATCTTATCTTACACATTCTGAAAACAAGATGATTATTCTTACACAATCAGTTCTTGTTTAGTAAATCAGTCTGAAAACAAGATCAAAAAGACTTTTTGGCTGATATAAGGTTTAAAAACTTGGTTAGATGGACAGTTTTTACAGTGTTGTTGTGCATCATCATCATCATCATCATCATCATCAGCTGCAGCTTCATCTTCCAGGAGGATTTATTTCACTTTTATCTTCAGGATGTCTTCATTAGCCCAGGAGGAAACCTAATGATCAAACTAAACAGTGTCAGGAGTTTGTTTCTGTTTGGATAAAAACTTAATTTGGTTTAAATAAATGTTTTTAGAGCTAAAAAATAAGAGCAGCTGTAGATTTAACAAACCCAACGTTACTGTCAGATTTTAAAGTTTGAAGCAAACTTCTTGTTTCAGACAGTGCTGAACTTGTTTCACCAAATAAAATCATTGTTTATTTTTTACTTTAATTAGTGTGAAGTGCAGTGAGAGTAAAGTGTGACAGTGTTATCAGCATTAGCACAGAAAATAAATGATTTGAATGAATATTCCACATAATAAAGATGTTTGTTAGTTTGTCTCTGCAGCACAAACATCTTTATTTCTTTTATTTAACACCCAAAGTTCAACAAATACAGAATAAATTTACATAAATGAGTTCCTCCTGACAGATACTCTGTAAAAACTGTTTGTAATAAAGTAAAACTCATGGCAACAGTTTTTTTTCTTATGTTTCTTTTTACGTTTAGTTCTAACATTCAGGACAACCTGGAGCAGAAACCCACAGAGAGAATCTGATCTAATTTATCATCTAAAGGTTGATGTGAGCAAAGCTGAAAAATGAGGCACAATAAATTCATGTTTGAACTGTTTTTATTTGACACATTTTAAATCCCAGGATTGGTTAAGCTCTAACATTCTGAATTAAATCTTTTTTTGAGGAAACGCATGTTTGAAGTCAGAGGTTTAAACTAAAATGATGGTAAATATTTGTCAACTTTAAAAATAACAACAATCTCCTGTGACACTGACATTGTGATCTGTCAGCTTTTATCAGTTTTARTGTGTTTCTGCATTTTAGTTTGACTTCGACTGAACTGTGAAGCACTTTGGTCAGATTTTATGATTTTAATTTATTATTTATAAAAAATTAGCATAGACTACTACAGCATGTTGTAGCTCAAAATGTGTAAAAGTAAAGAAAAACTAAGTTAAGTTACTGATTAACTTGAATTATATTGACTGTGAAAGTTCTCCACAAAATAAAACCAATAACTCCTCTCTGAGTGTTTTATTGAAGGGATTATGAGATATTTTGCTAACAGAAAATCAGACTTAATTCTAACATTTAATTTCAAGGTTTAGAGACATCATGCATGTCGTGGAAATGTTCCACCAGGCAGAGATACGGGAACAAAGTGAAACTGTGTGGTCTGGTCTTTAGATTATTTAATAGAAAGATGCAGACAGAGGGTAAAAAAAGTATTGAACASACTTACTGAAATTTATCTAATACTTTGTACAAAAGCCTTTGTTGTCAATGACAGCTTCAAGACGCCTCCTGTATGGAGAAACTAGTGGCATGCATTGCTCAGGTGTGATTTTGGCCCATTCTTCCACACAAACAGTCTTCAAATCTTGAAGGTTTCGTGGACCTCTTCTATGAACTCTGATCTTTAGTTCTTTCCATAGATTTTCTGTTGGATTCAGGTCAGGTGATTGGCTGGGCCATTCCAGCAGCTTTAGTTTCTTTCTCTGAAACCAACTGAGAGTTTCCTTGGCTTTGTGTTTGGGCTCATTGTCTTGCTGAAATGTCCAGCCACGTTTCATCTTCATCATCCTGGTAGATGGAAGCAGATTTTTATCAAGAATGTCTCTGTACATTTTTCCACTCATCCTTCCTTCAATTATTTGAAGTTTGCCAGTACCATATGCTGAAAAACAGCCCCACACCATGATGTTCCCACCTCCAAACTTCACTGTTGGTATGGTGTTTTTGGGCTGATGTGCAGTGCCATTTGACCTCCAAACATGATGTGTATTCTGGCATCCAAACAGTTCAATGTTGGTCTCATCTGACCAGACTATATTCTCCCAGTATTACACAGGCTTGTTTAAATGTTGTGCAGCAAACTTTAAAGGAGCTTCAACATGCTGTTTCTTCAGCAGTGGAGTCTTGCGTGGTGAGCGTGCATACAGGCCATGGTGGTTCAGTGCATTACTTATTGTTTTCTTTGAAACAAWCGTACCTGCTAATTCCAGGTCTTTCTGAAGCTCTCCACAAGTGGTCCTTGGCTCTTGGACAACTCTTCTGATAATTCTTTTCACTCCTCTGTCAGAAATCTTGTGAGGAGCACCTGGTCGTGGTCGGTTTATGGTGAAATAATGTTCTTTCCACTTCTGAATTATGGCCCCAACAGTGCTCACTGGAACCTTCAGAAGTTTAGACATTCTTCTGTAACCGATGCCATCATTATGCTTTGCAACAATAAGGTTGTGAAGGTCTTGAGAGAGCTCTTTACTTTTACCCATCATCAGATGGTTCTTGTGTGATACCTGGCCATCATTTGGGACTGAACCAGCTGATATTAACTTGCACTGACAAGGGGCAGGCTTGTTTTCTAATTACTGAGAGAGTTCAGCTGGTGTCTTGGCTTTCCATGCCTTTTTACACCTCCCTTTCTTCATGTGTTCAATACTTTTTCCCTGTGCCATTCCACATTATTACAAATAACTTCATTTCTGGACATTTATGGTTTGATTTCTTTGTATGTATGGATCACTTGGGTTGTTACCAACATCTGGTGAAAATTTCATGTCATTAGCACCTCTAGTAATATATTTACTGAGAAAAATGGTGACGTGTTCAARACTTATTTTACCCGCTGTATATGCAAAGATTTGASTGGRCACCATGACAGAGKGGAAATCAGCAGCTCAGTCAACTTACCAACAGACAAGAAATACATTATATACTTCTGGGCGTGGCCCGTTCGAACAAATAAGAGCCTGATAAATAGTATGAAGATATCAAGGACCAATAGAAGAATTACAAGTTTATAAAGGCAATATGAAATTAGAACAAGGTTACCGGCATCAGATGGCATCTTTAAGGAGAACAGATCAAACACTGAGCAGTTTATCAGAGACAAACAAAACAGGAACATGTCGAGGTGATGTGC